ATACATGTTGTAAAGGAATATTGTTTAGTAATGAAGTGAAGAACTGATACAACACATATAAACCCTCAAAACACTTATGCTAAGTGAAAGAAAGCAGTCCCAAATTCTCTCATTCCGCTTATGTGAAATGCCCCAGAGAGGCACGCATAAAAATGTTGGTGGTTGTCAGACCTAAGGCAGAAAAGGCAAGGAGAAACAAATGCTTAACAAGAATGCATTTCTTTTGTGGGTGTTGAAAATTTTCTGAAGTGAGTCGAGAGTTTAACAAATTTGTGAATCATTCTAAAAAACCACTGAATTATACACTTCAAAAAACTGAATTTTGTGGCATTTAAATTATATCTTAATAAAGCTACGGTTAAAAGAAAGAGAGTGGGGCATGGTGACACACGCCTTTAGTTCCAGCACCAGGGAGGCAGAGGCAGGTGAATCTTTGTGAGTTCAAGGCCAGCCTGATTTACATAGCAAGTTCCAGGCCAGCTGGGGCTATAGGGAGACCCTGTCTCAAGAAGACCAATAGATAATAAATAAGTAAATAAATAAATAAATAAATATTAAAATGTAATTAAAAAAGAAAAGAGAGGAGCCAGGCGCAGTGGTATATCCCTTCAATCCCAGCACTCAGGAGGCAAAGGTAGGCAGAGCTCTGTGACACTGAGCAAAGTCTGGTCAACATGGTGAGTTCCAGGCCAGTTGGGGTAACAGGAAGACCCTGTTTCAAAGAATGCCCCCAAAAGAAAATAAAAGAAAAATCTGAGGGCTGGGAGAAGTAGGTAAAAGTACTTGCTGAACAAAGCCTAGCTTGGTAACACAGTCCTCCTATGCTGAGATGGGAGGCAGAGGCAGGGGCTCCCACAAGCTCTGGGGCCACCCAGTCTGCTGTGTGCAGCAGAAAAACAAGAGACCCTGTTTCAAACAAGGAGAGGTCAGGTTGTCCTCTGACCTCTCCACCAGAGCCACACATGTGCATGCTCACATGAACGAACACACACACACACACACATACACACACACACACACACAATGCACATGCACACACAACTTTTTAAAAGAAAAGAGAAAACTGGGAGCTGGGATGTGACTAGTGTCAGAGCACTTACCCAGCATGCACAAAACACTGGGTTCAATCCCCAGCACCGAGTGGCTATGGGGCAATAAAAAAAAAATAATAACTGCAAAGAAAAAACAAGTGCATTGTCCAGGTAAAACAAAGAGGAAAGTGGGATTAGAGGGTGATGAAGTCTGTATGTCTCCCTAAAATCAAACCCTAAAATTTAAGCACCAAGGTGATGGGCTCCACCTTCGGGAAGCCATGAATTAATGCCCTTATAAAAGGGGTGTCAGGGAGTTCATCAATAGAGACCAAACCAGCTGGATATTTTATCATGAATTTCCCAGTTTCTAGAACTCTGAAGTTCTATTGTTTATAAACTGCTGGGCCATATATTTTATATACGAACGGGATGGAGACACCGGGAGACATCTGGTGAAACTGAAGCCTCTACTCCAGGCCTCTCCCTGCAGGGCCCTGGGAGAGTAGGAGCTGGAGGGGAATTCCTAGTTGAGAGGGGATGTGGTAAGAAGGAAGCGTATATTAAAAAGGAGAAAAAAAAGGAAAGAAGGAAGGAAGCACATATGAGCATCACCTATAGATCTTAGAAAAATGGCTTCAGTCACTTCTTGGTGACATTTCTTCATTCTTAAGATATTACTTATCCTAATATTTGTATATGCATACCCCTTTCCTCTTTATAAATGAGACAGGGTCTCACAGATCTCAGGCAGACCTTGAACTGCTTCTGTAGAAGATGATGGCCTTGAACTTCTAATCTTCCTGCCTCTGTCAAAGCTGGGATTACAGATGTGTACTACCATGTCTGGTTTTATGTGGTATTGCGGGTCAAGCCCAGGGCCTCATGCATTCCTGTCAAGTACTCTACCAACTGAGCTATATCTTCTGCCAATGCTTTCCCTTTAAATAGTCCCCAGACTGAATACGTTTTAGTTCACATCAAAGCAAGGTCTAAAAAGCAGGGATGGATCTGAGGTCACTCACTCCATAGTCTGTAGTATAACCACTCATCTGGCTAAGCTATGTGACTTGCTCCAACAGCACTTGGCTGTTTGGGTGCAGAAGAACTGTAGAGCTAGGTTCCAGTAGAGTGAGAGTTTTGTGAGGTGTGAGCATGTTACCCAAACTGTGGACCATAAAGACTTTGGACTGGAGAAGAAATGTAAGTACTGAAGAAAGAGGACGTGGAAAAAGCATGGAAAAAATACTACGAAATACAGAGGCATCAACAGGCTGGAAAAGCTACTGAGAAGCAACATGATGGCATGAGGTGATGCTGAAAATGACAACTTGGAAGCTGTTCACTTAAAAGTGGGAGGCTGGAGGAGGATTAACTTGACAGGGAGAGTCTTAGAGGTGCTAGGAAGGTCCTTTGCTTTAAGGAAAAAGTCTAAACTCAAGATTCAAAACTGAGTGCGGTGGTGCTTACTTATAATCCTAGCATTGAGAGGAGGTGGAGGCAGGAGGATCAGAAGTTCAAGGCCATCCTCGGCTACATAATGAGTAGCTAGTCTGGGATGCATAAAACCATGTTGGAAGGAAGGAAGGAAGAAAGGAACGAAGAGAGGGAGGGAGGGAGGGAGAAAGGGAGGGAGGGTAAGAGGGAGAGAGGAAGGTCCAAGGATCTGAACAATTTGCCCATTGTCTACCTCTGTTACCTTACCCACCCAATAATAATGTTATCCCCATTCACCTCATTGCTGATTTCATTTCATTCTTTCAATGCTCCCCACAACCTGAGGACCTGTAGTAGTTTCTCTTTTGTCTGAAATACCCCTTTTCCAGGCCAGGCCAGGCCAATATCTGCCTATCCTGAGAGCTCAATTTAAAGTTTTTTGCTCAGAGGAGTCATTCTCTATTATATATCCTCTTCTACAGCATTTGTCTACTAATTACAGACCTTATGGGGTTAATTATTTGTAAATTTTTTTTTCTCCAGGATAGATGGGGGCAGGAAAAAGTCTGGCTTTCCTCTCTATGTAACCCAGATGCTTCCTCTTGGATTTGTATATATTAGACAGTCTGTAAATATTTGTTGTGTGACTAAAATATAAACTACTTATATGTAATAGCTTTTTCCAATATGCCACTTATTTATTGATTCATTCACTTATTTACTTATTTTTTTAGACAAGAAGGTCTCGAACTGTAGCCAGGCTAGTCTCAAATTTGAGACAATCCTCAAATCTCAGCCTCCTGAATGCTGGGATTACAAACATGGGCCACCATCCCAGCAAGTCTTTTAATGCTTGAAGATCCAAAATATGATTCAAAAGATGATCTAAAAATGTCATATAAGGTAAAAATAATGTAAATTTTTTCTATAATTCTGTGTAATATGTGGAGGTGTGCCTGACAAGATTTCTACAAATACAAGTCTAAAACAACATTGTAAATTTCTGTTCATTTTGGAGATAGGGTCTCATACCCTAGCCCAGGCTGACCTGGAACTCACAACAATCCTATTGCCTCAGTTTCCTGGGGACTGTGATTACAGGTGTAAGGTGCTAAACTCAGCTAAAGATCTCTTATATAGAAACGAGATCATTGAATGTCCTATTTGAATAAGATATACTTGAAATTCTAAAAGCTAAATAACAAGAGATATTACAACTTTCCATTTTAAAAGGATGTTATGGCAAAAATGGAGGGAGAGGGAGTGGTTCCTTCTTATATACAGGAACTTTTGTCTTATTACCAACCCAGCACCTACTATTCATTCTCTCATTCTGTCTCTGTCTCTCTCTTCCTTCCTCACTCCTTCCCTTTTGTTTCCTTTTTCCTTCCCTCCCTTCCTCCCTCCTTCTGCTTTCTCCTGTCCTTTCTTCCCCCCATCCCTCCCTCCTTTTCTCCCTCTCCTTCTCTCTCTTTTCTGAGACAGGATGTCATGTAGTGCAGATTGGCCTCATACTCCCTTTATAGCCAAAGATGACTTTTCACTACTGATCCTCCTGCCTCCACCTCCCCAGGGCTGGGATTACAGGTGTGCTGCCATGCCCAGTACCCCCCCGCCCCCAATAACCTATAAAGTTTTCACAGAACTGAATAAGAATGCTGTTTATAAGGAAACGCCCAAGGTTATGATTTTCCAGAAATGCTCAATTAGCTATTCATATTTTCAGCACTTTTATCTGATTATATATTATCTTCTAAAATTTGTTCCAAGGCTTTGTTCCAAATGCATTGGTAAATAAGAGTTATTTACAGGATACGTCGAGCTCGGACCAAGTATAATAACTGTGAAACACACGAGTGGGCGAATAGAACTTGGATATCTAGTACAATTCTGTTTCCTGTCCAACATCCCAGGGCAGGTTTTAAGCAATACGAAGTCAACTGGAAGAAGCAGCCAACAAATGGTGGTAGGGTGAGACTACCGTGTCCCGGAGCTTTGGTGAGGCCAGGCGATCCCGCCACTCGGAACTGTGGAGTCAGGCCCTGGCGCCCTGGAGGTCCCTCTCGGTCCTCTGGTGCACAGAGTGGCCACCGTGATCTCCCCTTGTGGTCTGGGTTGCGTCCTTGAGTCTCGCGCGGCGGGGAGCCGCAGGAGCGCAGTCTCCTTCCTGCATGGATTTTCTTTCTAGCCACTCAACTAGAGAAAACCCTCTGAAACTCTCAACCCCGCGTGTACACACCAATACAAACTTCAAACTGACACCAGGGCAGAGCCAACTTGGCAAACCCGGCTGGCGTCCCCTTCGCTCCGGCCCCCGAGCCCAGGCATCGCTGCGCTCCCGGAGGCCTCCGCCGCCTTCCTGATCCCTCCGGCCTGGGACCGCCGGGCGGCGAAGACCCCGACCGCACTGGAGAACTACAGATCCCAGGGTGCCTCTGCGACCGCGCTCCCTCCCTTCTCCGGCCCCGCCTTCCCTGGCCCTTGTTTTGGCTGGAAGAGCTCCGGAGGAGTTTCAGAGAAAGTCTGGGCAGAAGCCTGGGGCGACTGGTCGTGGGAAGAGGAGGCGGAAAGACTGGGAGAAGGAGGGACCCGGTCGGGGCCGCGCCACCCCGAACCCGCCACGCGCCCCCGGCTGGGGGAGGAGCGCAGGGGACTGGACTGTAGGTTCCCTCCCCGCAGCAGAGCCGCCTCGCGCCTCGTCCCTGCCTGATCCCCGCCCTCGTCGGCGGCTGGAGCGCAGACCTACCCTCCCTCCCACCGCGGACCTGCGACCTCCCAGACGCCCGGAGACGCCCCGCCTCGCCGCCGACCCCCGGGCTCCCTCTGTGGATCGGGACCTGCCCCCGAGTCCGCTGCCCCGAGGGACGCAGCGCGGCTGCCCGGGTGCCCTCCCCTAGCATAGGGAAGCCGGGGATCGCGCCCGGCGCACCGAAACCCAGAGCGGGCGGAGAGGAGTGGACACCGCGCGCGGGCATTGTGTGCGCTTGCAGCGTGGGGTCAGCTGCCCGGAGCGCCCGCGGGAGGTCCTGTCCCTGGGGGACGGAGCGCAGGGATCTAGCTCTTGAATCCGTGTCGGGGCAGAGTCCTGGACGAGCCCCATCGCTGCCTAGGCAGTCCGCGGTGGGACGGCGCGCCTGGTGGCCAGGCGGGCTCACTGAAGGAAGGCCAGCGAGCCCTGGGGCCCGCAGCCCCCGCTCCTGTCCGCGGATCTGAGGAGGAGAGGCTCGATCTCACGGAGACTGGCCGCCCCGTCGGGGGAGGCAGAAAGATCCTCTCCGCTGCGCGCCTCGCATGCGCCGGCGGTTACCGGAGCGCATCCACCGTCCCCTCCGCTGCCCGGTCCCCGAGCCCTCCCGGCGTGCACCATGAGCGGCGGCGAAGTGGTCTGCTCGGGATGGCTCCGCAAGTCCCCGCCGGAGAAGAAGTTGAAACGTTATGTAAGTACAAGTCTTAGGGCTGCTGGCCGCGGCTGCAGCAGCTTGTGCACCCGGCTAGCTCTTGCATCAATCCCGCCCTCCTTTCCTTGGATCACTTTCCCGGCAGGCGGACTCCGGGCCGTGTGCTGTTCGCTCACACCCTGGCGTCCACTCTGCAGGAGAAACTTTCTTCCATTTAGCAAGGGTGGAGTGCAATGTGGAGAAAGCCTTCTCTTTTATATTTGCATCAGATAATTCCAATAGAGCTTTCTCCAGCACTGAGAAACCCACCGAGGTAGTAGAACTTACAAGCCCTCCCTTAGGTCCGCGGCCCCTCTCCCCTGAGCCTCAGGGGAGGTCGCGGGAGGCAAACCATGGACCTGAGAAGTGGGTGGTAGAGGCAGACTTCTCAAACACGCGCACAAGGGAAAGAAAAAAAAGTTCTTACACGCCCCAGGCTTAGCTGGGCTCACGTTTTCGCGGTTTTGAATTGACGGACATTGGAGTTTGGCCCATGAACCCTGGCGGTTTGATGCGACTGGAGCGCGCTGGTGG